CTGGAAGCAAATATGTTTAATGTTTAGAATTTTGATAACTACTACAGCTCTCTGCTAAGTAAAGTGTGCGTGGGTGCAGGCCTTGTGTGAAAACGAAGTGTTCGCGTTTCATTGGATTGGTGGCAGTATATTTTAGCTTTCTGTACAAGATTCGCAGATTTTCAGTATCACTGCATCTTGCCCTCCCACAGTTCTTACACCTCTCACACTGAATAGGTCTACTTGGGCTATTCTACTGTACTTTGAGTTAGAGCATTAATTTCTGTCTTTCACGTTTATTATATAGGCCAATATATATGATATGAATCATGACAGTCGATATTCTGGTTCTATGCTCAAAGAAAGATTCATTTTTATATAGTTTATATATACAGGCGAATATGATGAAGGGAAAATATTAATACGTCGCACAAGACCCCAGGCGCCAACACTTTCTGTACGTACCACAGTAATCAAGATTGTAAATTTGGTGTCAGGTGTGTGACTCTTACTTGAAATTATCTCCCAAACCCTCAAATTGGTGTGAAATAACCTTGCTTTGATAAATTGGTGGTTTTCATTTCGGCATTCTAGGGTTCAACAGTAATAATAATGGGTGTTTCGCCAAAATGGGCTTCTGTGGCGATCACCCGGAAAGTTCCTCCTTTTTTAGAATTCTGAGTTGAGACCCATGTGATTTAAATAAGATGAAATTGGTTTTCAAAATGCTGTGATGTCACACCCTTTGGTGCAGAAAAGCAAGCATTAGACCAAATACTATAGCCTTTGGGTGTTGACCAGAGCTAAAGATGTACTTTTCCATGTTTGATTTTGACTGTCTTCTCTAGTTTTAATATGTCCTGGGTCATTCATTTTTTATTTGCTCTTTTAGCTTTCATATATCGTTTTATCCAATGTGTATGTTGTGCCATTTGTGTGTGTTTAGAGACAGAGAGAATATCGTTGTGAGGCTTTGGAGATTTTTGTTTATAATGTAACTGTATGTACAAAGTCATAGTCAAGTCTACTTCTGACAAACTCAACCGATAAAGCTATCCTCATATCGTTTTATCCAATGTGTATGTTGTGTGATTTGTGTGTGTGTAACATGCTAAGTATTAAATATATTTAGAGGCTATTCACAGGTGTAGATGCATGATGTGCGTGTGTGTGTGTGTGTGTTTGTGTGTGTGTCTCCTTCTGTCTCTGTCTCTCTCTCTCTCCCTCTCTCTCTCCCTCTCTCTCTCTTGCTCTCTGTGTTTATGTATTTTTGTGAGTGATTGTAAGTGTGGTGTGTGTAAAGATAATATTAATGGGTGGTTGGTGGGTGCTCTGGTGTGGTCTGCTCCTTCTCTCCTATTCAACATCTCTCATCCTTATCTTTCTCTTCATTCTTTTTGTGTTTGTTACTCTCTTGTAACACGCACTAACACCTCTAATCTTCAGCACTTACATAAAAACTTATTTTGTTGCAAGTGCTAACTCTTTCGAAAACAAAAGATAGTTTTAGGTATGAACAGGGCGCTTTGGCTGCAAGCGTAAGTGTATGTGTGGTACCGAAGCTCGATCTACTTTCGCTTTCTTTACCACCCAGAAATTTTCCGGCAGCAGTCTGATTAACACAACATTTGTAACATACAGGTTGTGCATTACAAACGCTGTGTCGCCAGGAAAATAAATCATTGCTGTGCTTTCACTTGCGGGAAAAAAAAGAAAGTTATACAAGTGTCTTGTCGGGCTCGACATCGTGACCGGTCAGTGAACCTGTACTTCCGCATCACATTGTGAGTACCAGTGATTGTTCGGGTCACCAAAGTTCATTCAACGTGTGCGCTGCGCAAAGTATAGGGCTCCAGAATAGGGGGATTATTAATTTTTTTTAAAGGTACAGTCGAGGGGAGGGGTGGGGTTGAAGGCAACATCGGATGACAAAAACTGAACTTGGAAGCAACTTTTAGTATTTAGAATTTTGATTATTACTCGAGCTTCCTGCTACGGAAAAGCGTGCATTGGTGCAAGCCATGTACGGAATTGGGATCCGTCATATTCATACCTAGTAAGCCGCGTTTTTTAACCAAAAGGTCCGTGTTTCATTGGATGGGTGATAGTCAAGGATCCCCTTGTTTCATTGTCCTTTGTTTTAATAGAGGTATGACCTCATCAAGAGCATACGTTTTTAATTTCTCTCTCTCTCTCACACACACACACACACGCACACTCGATCACACACTCTCTCTCTCTCTCTCCCTCTCTGTTTTCTGAGTCTCGTTCTCTCTCTCTCGTGATAGTATTACATGTTTTGTAAACATCTATATTTTAGCTTTCTGTTCCAAATTCGCAGATTTTCAGTGTCACTTCATTTTGCTCTCGCTTAGGAAAGTTAACAGGTGGTAGATTGGGGTCATTTTTTTATTTACATTCCGCTCACAACACACAAAAAGCGGAGTAAAAAAGGAAAAAGGTCAAGGTCATGAAGGAAGTGAACCAGTTACTGTGCACCTAGCTCAA